AATCGCCCAATGAGCTGACGCAAAGTATGAACGCACTCTAAATAAAAACCAACCTTGGGCCTTTCTCCAGGATAACGTCCTCCAGGACCACGTTGCCCCTGACGAGCATTTCCTCCACGACGTTGCCACATTTTGAACGCGCGCTGCTGCTCTCTGAACGTGACGAATTATTGAGAAAAAAAAACACAGAAACCTCCAGATAGGAAAAATATCGAAAACATCAGCCAAAAATATGCGAAGCACTGACTTGGCGATACTTCGCTTCATCTTCAGATTTTGCCCCTGTAGCGCCTGCTCACGCCTTTCCTGATCTTTCTGCAGCAATTTCTTGAATTGCAATTGACGTGCGCGGTAGTTGCGTTGCGGATTACGTTGAACGGGCTTCGACGAATCGACCTGTCGAATTTCGGAATATTTCTTCTCCGCTGATGTGGCGATGTTGAGCGATACATGAGCGCAGTTAAGCTGAGAGTGGGCTTTTTCCACTGTCGCTGCTTCCCTTCTCGAGTTCACGGCTTTACAAGAGTTGACAAGTAGTTGTAACAAATTCTCCCTTTCATCATTTCATGGTTTCACAAGTTTTCACAAACCTCTACCTGGAGGTTGGCACGACAATGGGTTAGCAGCGAAAGTGGAAAATGCCCCCCCCCTCAGCTGAAGTGCGCTCAATACACGTATTCAACGTACCAGCTGGAAGTTGTTCTCGTCCATACCGTGAACGTAGTCAAACTGACTACCTGCATTCGCAGCTGAGCCATACATTCGTTCGTTGTAGCTGTAAAAAGAAAATTTTGAAGAACGAAAGTTCAGGGGCAACTCATGTTAAAAGAAACGTAAAGGAAGGATTAAATGGAAAAAATAGGACAGACTGAGGAACTAGCCCGCATACCGTTCAATGTCCACTACTTTCGTAGAGAGCGAGTCCACGCCAATCAAGTGCAGCAAAACGAACCGGATTCGATCAAGCCGTAAAACAAATAAACTGGATTATTATTTAAAGGAATAGAAAATTAAAATAATGGGCATCAGGACTACGTCCCCTTAGATGTGGTGCAAAACCGCATCGATTTTTGTTTGAAATCCTTAATATCGCCTATATGTTTGAAGGGAGATTTGGTCCGAAGAAGGGCCTTCTTCAGCTTCAGAGGAACAATGATCACTGCAGCAGCGGTAAGAAGATGAGAGGACCACCGTTCCCAGTACCATAAATGGACACTCCCATGCCACGGACCCCATAGATGACGAACCCCCAGCTACGAAGAAGCCAAGCGCGGAAAACTGAAAACAACTGCAAAGAAAGAAACTGGCCGTCTTTGAAAATGGACCAACAGTCTAAGGTGCTGCACTTGAGGTTGCAGCCTGAAGTTCTTTCAGCTGCATTGTTGGAGCCCTAGCCTTGCCAAAAGATCTGCATACAAATGCCTAACAGCTTTATTAGGCACCAGTATGTGCGACTATCCAGTTTATTCCTGTTCAGAGCACCTAGATGGGTGAGGAATCCAGCGAAGGAGCCATCAGTCATATTTGCCGTTGAGAAAGGTTCACGAAGGAGGTCTTCGGTAAGCGACTTTTTCGTCGAGATTTTCGCGTTTCACGTATTATATCCCTGCTCAACGATAGCGTTTTTTTTTGAGAAATACGAAAAAAAAACTGGAAATAAGGTAGGAAGGTGGAGAAATTAAGGAAGATAGAAGGTAGGGTTGCACTGTACCACCAGAAGTGGATGTTTCAAGGGACGTCATCTCTGCAAAAGTCTCCCAACGACAGAACATACCCTACCTGTGAGTGACAAATGCTCAAAGTTTTTACCAATACTCACCTTGTTATACTGCTGGAACGGAATCGAAGTATCCAAAGCAGGTGGATTACCAAGTGGTCCCCATCCGGTGGGGTTCGCTGCCATATCGCAGAATTCGAACTTCGGTAACGTCATCCTCTTCAAATCACTTGGTTTAAAAGAAATCAATACCAAATCAGCGAAATTTCAAAATGCCAACGAACAGTTAACAAAATAATTATTGCTTCAAACAACTGGTCATGAGTCAAAATTATTTTTATAACACTTTATTCAGCTAAGCTAATATTCATCTACACGCTCATAAACAACTCTGGGACAACACTCCTCCACAAACGACTTGAAACAACGCCTAACGAAAACAAGAAATACTAAACAACTCTGTTTCATTCACGAGAAACAGCTTTTGCAACCACGTGTTACAATCACCTGTACAAGCCTTACACGGCAATTCAACACCAGAACAAAACAGCTACTTTCAAACTAAACTGTCAACAGCCTAGGCCTTCCTAAAACTCTTGCTATTAAGGCTCTAGAAACACCGCTTGACAGCAAGGCTCCAACGTTTTTATCCCACAAAGCTCCGAGGACTCAGATCTGTGGAGTTTACAAGAGTGCTTTGCCAGTGGGCAGAGCCCTCAAGAAGGAATACTTATCCATTGGATAGCATGCTAGATAATATAAAAGGTATTTTTAACTGACTCATGCGAGTTCATCCCTATGGATGAAAACTTGCCTTTCTAGCCAAAGCCCCACCATGGCAGGCGGACTCGCGTGAATTAGTCCAAACTTTTGCCTTTACCAGTTGCATATCAACTAGCGGCACCAATAAGAGAGTATTCTTAGCCTTATGAAACTTCGCGCTCGGGTAGCTTTCTGGATCTTTTGAGCCTTTGGGCCTCAATCTGCAGTTTCGCACTCAGATCGCCGTGAGGCCTCCTGTATCATATAATACAGGATAAACAAACCGTTTGGCGAGCGGGAGTGGAGAGGAGGCATTCTGCACTCTGCTACATGGACGTGTCAAGCCATCAATCGAGACCGATGGAAATCCGTAAAATCCATGATAGTTAGTTTATTTAGAAACTATTCGTCACTCTTGTAAGAGACTGTCAATTCCTGGAGAAGCAGCGAAATGTTGAAAAAATCAACCCCCCATCCCCCCCATCGCGTTGAATTGGCCAGCAAGACCGTTCTGTAGACAATGAGCTCATTAAGAAAAATCACCTAGAGATCTTAATTCATGTCGAAATTTCCTATCTAGACTAGTGTGTGTGATAAAAATCAGAAATTACCTTTAATTAGAGAACAAGGATTCAATTTTAGCGCTATTAAATTAACTGCAGTGTAAACCACCAACATATTGCTTAGCACACAGCTTGCTTTTCTTGAGAGCTAAGCTATTTAGAACTATGACTATAAATCGGCACTGTTTCTGGGGGCAAATGCTTCCCTTGAACAATATCAGCTGCTCGTTCTGCCATCATTATCACAGGGGCATTCAGATTTCCACTCACAACTGACGGCATAATACTTGCGTCAACAACCTGAAATTGAGTAACCTTCAGAAAAGTAAAATGAAGCATAAAGAATGCAAGGAGAGGTGTGAGGACATAATAAAAAAAGCTAGAAAAGAATCGTAACGACTGTAGGAGCTACGCGGCGAGTGCAGACGTGATTTCTTCCCAAGCAGAGGAAGACCTGCAAACAGCCAGAGGCCTTCATGCGACTTTGTCGCCGGGCAGCAGTGGAGGGCAAATCAACCAAAGACCCAGCAACTAACGCTCTATGTTTCTGAGGGTCAAGGCCGGCCTGCTCCAAGAATCAAAGGAAGTATTTGAGACGTAACCTTCACAAGTTTTGTACCGCGTGCAAACGTCAATGTCTCCGAATTAACAACAAGCCAATTTTGTCGTTTCTGAACGCATTTTGCAAGACAAGAGGTGATAGGCAGAGTGCTGACATGTGCCTAAACACCCACAAACGAACGAAAGTGGAAGGATAGTTATGGACGATGAAGAACTGGAAACTTACTTAATAAAATTATCTATTTGAGCATCCGTCGTGACGTCCTTACCAGGTGACAACTCGTCGCCACGATATGGATCAAAAGCCTTTGCGAAATTTCGCGCGAACACACGTCACGCATTTTCTGCGAACACGGCAAGGCACTGTTACCAAAGTTACTCAACCTCAGCCACTAAAATTATCCTATTTTCTTAGGGTATGAGGGGCACTTGCTCCAATGATTCGGGCGCGACAGGCCGCCAAGAAGGTACGCAATAGCCAGCGGTTTATCGGCGCTTTTTGCATATTTTTCAATTTTAGTATACAAGAAAAAACATAAGCAGTCACCTAAACACATATAACAACAAAACTTCAAATATTTACGCCTTTTGAGGCAGGTGAGCCCTGTAAAGTGTGCGCCTTATACCCAGAGAATAGGGTAACAATGCTGGACTATTACATTTCGATGTTACCAATAACTCCAACTCACCTGAACTCTTTCCAGTCATCATCATGGTCCAAGTAATTCGGGTCAATGATCGGGTGTCGCCTCGGGTCGTTGGAAGCTAACTTGATGCACCCTTTAGACTTCGTCCGCATATTACCCACATGAACCTGAATTAAGGTTGAAATTATTTGTCTTCAGGAACTAAGAAATAGAGGAGATTGTGAAACTTGATCGGGAAACGAGACACAAGACAAGTCGTAATTTGCGCGTCGCCTGTGAACGTGGTGTATTGAGCGGCCGGCAAGTTCTCATGTGCACACTTTGCCGAAGGAGCATCAAAAACACATAAGAATGTAAGCAGAGATGAGAATATGAAGGGTGGAATCCGTACTTTCCCAGTAGTACAGTTTTCAGCCTGGTTGTTTTATAAGAAGTAACTCAACAGTCAAACGACCATGCGGGACAACACGTCCTTCGGGCGCGGAGTTGTTCGCCACGCCCAGCAGCGCGGCTTTTACGATTGTCTTTGCCACAGATCCGACTTGACTAACTGGTACGCATGAGCGCTTAGAACCCGCCCCCGTCCACGTCATCATGGACAGTGGATGGTAGGAAATGGAACTGAATATCAGGATGTTCGACTTTGTCATTTGATCTTGCAAATCCTCCTGTCTCAAGATGACTCGTGGCGCCCAGACCTTTTCGTGTAGCGAACCATTCTAGAAATGAGTATCTCCATAAGTGAGAAAAAGAAGCGGAAAGTTTCTAATCAATGAACTGAACATGCAGGGTATTCCCGTCAATGCTACTACCACACAAAAAGCTATCTCCGTCAAAATCTTATGGAAAGGAAGAAAATATTATGCGTCCGAATCCACGAACGAAACGCCGACACTCACGTAGACAGACGTGACACATAACGTTATTATTGTGGCTGACACGAAGTATTGACAAGCGTGCTAAAACTCCCTTTAGTCATTGAATAAATAATGCGTCGCAGCGCGAACACGGAAGGGAAGATTGTGGCTGCATCCTGAACCCCTCCTGAGAAGCTTAACAGAGCTGTTTGCAGAGCTACTCCCTCATAAAGCTTCGGCTATTTTCTTCAAACTTCGAGCAAATTCAACTAAAAGTTTTGCGGATATCCAGCTTGCATGGCATGCAGGCAAAATCAAGGCAGAAGTAAACTACAACTCACCAAGTCCAATTTTAATCATGTTATGCGGAAACCTCCAAGAACTTTTGTTGTACAATGTGATTGGCTGCTTACACTGTCTGTGCACTTGTGTGTTGAGCTTGCCATTACTGTGTTGTCTGGATGATCCTGCAACAAAGCTGAGGAGTTACGTGAACGTATCAATAACAAAAAAAAAACATCAGCTGGGTATGGCGTTCTACCTTTTATCAGGGCCTCACAAAAAACAAGTTCACCTGTCGTGGGACGAGACCTTAAGATCATTGCGACCCCTGCCTCCTAGAGGCTCTGTCCCCTAATGCGTTAAAATCTTTGCAACTCACGACAAGATTCTGTCCAACACCGGGGAGATTGACAACAACGGGAATCTCATGGATTCGTAGATGATCTGCAGGACCTTACCGCCGTTATAATCGATATCGCTGCGCGAGATATGATCGCACTCTGGCGTAGCCAAAAATGATTTTGAAAACAATAGAGAAACAAGCTGTGAATTGGCATTGTTACCAATATTGATTAAATATTGTGAAACCATTCCAGTGAGCTTTTACGCACCTCCACAAAGTATCACATCGCCCTCGCAGTAAATCTTCTCACGGCTGTAGGAATCAATATTATCGGTGCCATAAAAGTGACTTTTCTGGAAAAGTTTGCGCGAAATCGTTAGAACAGATTACAGGAATAAAGCAATATTATCAACCAGTCCCTCGCCGCGACGCCGGCGCGGCTCCTTCTGATACGGCCCGGCTTCGCCGCGCGTACCTTCTCTCACATATTTCTAGACTCAACTGATATCCGCCTTTTGTTCTGTACTCCTACTTTTCTCCGGTGTCTGAAGTACTCTTGAGCTGTTTTACAAATTCTTCGTCTGACTTCGCCCACCTCAGAGCAGACCCGCCCTCAATTTTTGTGCCCCGCACTCTTCACAGGCGACCCCCTGCTGACCTTAATCCACTTTTTCCGGTGTCTGATGTGTTCTGGAACCGTTCTGCAGAGTTTTTGTCTGGCTCCGCCCACCTCGAAACAGGCTCCGCCCCAATTTTTGTGCCCCACAATCCTCACCGGCGACCCTCTGCTGACCTTAATTCAAGTTTTTTTCCGGTCTTCGGAGAGCTCTGGAACCGTTTTACAGACCTTTTTGTCTGGCTCCGCCCACCTCGAAGCAGGCTCCGCCCACAACGTTTTTGCCCCACGGTCCTCACCTTCGACCCTCTGCTGACCTTAATCCACTTTTTTCCGGTCTTCGGAGTGCTCTGGGAGAGTTTTGGAGAATTTTTGTCTGGCTCCGCCCAACTCGGGCTGGCCCCGCCCACAACATGTATACCCCATTTCTTAATCGGCGACCCCTTGCTGACCTGAATTCACTTAATTCCGCCGCTGTACGCTGCTCTGAACGGTTTTGGAGAATTTTTGTCTGGCTCCGCCCACCTCGAAGCAGGCTCCGCCCACAACGTTTTTGCCCCACGGTCCTCACCTTCGACCTCTGCTGACCTTAATCCACTTTTTTCCGGTCTTCGGAGTGCTCTGGGAGAGTTTTGGAGAATTTTTGTCTGGCTCCGCCCACTCGGGCTGGCCCCGCCCCCAATTTTCGTGCCCCACAATCCTCACCGGCGACCCTCTGCTGACCTTAATTCAAGTTTTTTTCCGGTCTTCGGAGTGCTCTGGAACCGTTTTACAGACCTTTTTGTCTGGCTCCGCCCACCTCGGAGCAGGCTCCGCCCACAACGTTTTTGCCCCACGGTCCTCACCTTCGACCCTCTGCTGACCTTAATCCACTTTTTCCGGTCTTCGGAGTGCTCTGGGAGAGTTTTGGAGAATTTTTGTCTGGCTCCGCCCACCTCGGGCTGGCCCCGCCCCCAATTTTCGTGCCCCACAATCCTCACCGGCGACCCTCTGCTGACCTTAATTCAAGTTTTTTTTTCCGGTCTTCGGAGAGCTCTGGAACCGTTTTACAGACCTTTTGTCTGGCTCCGCCCACCTCGGAGCAGGCTCCGCCCACAATGTTTTTGCCCCACAGTCCTCACCGGCGAACCTTTGCCGACCTTGACGCACGTTTTTCCGGTCTTTGCAGTGCTCTGGAACCGAGCTACAAACTTTTAAAGTGAGTATCCTGCGGTTTAGGGCAAGCTCCGCCCACTGTGGGCGGATCTCAACACACTTTGGGCATGCCCAATACTCGCCAGATATTTACATTCTGCACTGAGCTTTTTGCGGCTTCTGAACACTCTCGCGAACCGAGTTACTGAGTTTTATGCGAAGCACCGCCCACCTTGAGTACGCCCCGCCCATTTTGGATGTGTCTGCCACAGTTAGTCTGGCGACTCCTTACTAACCTTATTCCCTTGTTTCACCATCTTAGGCTGCTCCGGAAGCGAATTATGAACATTTTTCTGTGAAACCCAAAATTTCAGTGAGTGCCCGCCCACAGATGGACGTAGGCTGTCGCATTGGTCAAGTGTGTTTTGTTCTTGTCCCATGCTCTACCCATCCCCACCTTGACCCGACCTCTCTAGGCCGTTCTTCAGGTCGAACCAAATTTCCGGACAGACAAACAAACTTACAAACAAAACAACTTACAAACAAACCTGACAACAAACGAGACGAAGCGCAATTTATTAGGTTGTCCAACAGTCATCTGTGGACACTTTTTGAATCTCGTATCAGATTTTTCCGCAGCCATTTCGAGATCCAGTATGTGGTCTATGGGAAGTGTGTGAGGTAAGCATTCCACAGCTTCTTCACCGTCCCTCGCAGTCGCTGTTCTCATATGAAAAACGGTAATTGAAATTCATCATTTTCGACACACTTCGCTATATGGATCTCTACCAAGCCACAACGTGGTTCGAGCCATAAGCGGCATTTCCCTTATTTAGATCTTGATGTTAGCTTCCACAGTACGGCTTTGGAATGGCTCAATTGCTTCTGCTTTAGTGACTTCTATCCGGGTGAAAAACTTCGTCCAAGGAGGCCACCTGCCTTGGATTTGGACCTACTGTGTTCCTTGATTAAAACCAATACGTACAAATCAACTTGCTATCTATTCCTTACACTTGACTGGTCCCAAAGCACAAATGAGAGAAGGCCTCGCTCCCTTAGAAAAGTTATGAAGTTCGATCAAAATTTTTCTCATGAGTTGACCAGTACTCCAAGGGGAGCACATGTGGGTACTGTCTACAACTTCTCTCCCTCTTCCGCTGTACAGGCTGGTTGAACAGCACTGTAACTGGATATGGAGTGGGTGCCTCTAGTTGAATCACTCCTGGGAGCGCCCGGCTCACCCCCAGACCAAGCGGCGCAACCGACGCGCCAATGCCTATCAATCCAGATAGGCGGTTGAGCCTAAAGTGTATGTGGTGACGTTACCTTCTCCCTCTCGAAACGGAATATCCCTGCCATTCACAACGCGTATTGTAACCAGGGTGCCCTATTGTAATCACTGCAAAGTGGGGTGGAAAATCTCTACCATTTGGTCCCAAAACCGAGCAATGTTTGCCTACTCCACCACACCTCAGGGTCAAACATTTGGAAAACGACACTGCTCGAGATCCCGAAGCTTAGCTGGGGAATTCCACCACAGTCTTCGTGTAGCCCTGACTACTCTTTTCCGACAACATCCAAACTAATCCACACGCGCCACTCTTCTTGGTAAAAAAATACGATTTTTGATAGTACCTCGAAAATGACCCAGCTGCCTTTCTGGCCACAGAACTAAGAGGCTTCTGGAAGCAGGGCAACCACACATTGCGTAGTGATTGGCAACAAGTTGCCAATGAAGGTGACATACATAC